CCCCCAAAACCCCAAAACCCCAAAACCCCTAGATAAAAAACTAATAGAATTAATCAATAATAACTAACACTAATGAATTCTCAAGCCAGTATTAACGAATATAAAGTTTCTGAAGATATCTGGGATTGTCCAGATCAGATCGATGAAGAAGAATGTACTCCTCAAATGCCTCACTTCACGAAGCAATTTGAGAATACTCTGAAGGATAACAAAGGTAGTTCAAACAAAGCTGACTTTGGAAAAGATTTTGAGAGTTTAAGAAACCCCAAGACCATGTATCTCAAATCGAATGATCAAGGTATTACTGCAAGATTTAAGAAGCAGTCAGTAACATGAAGAGGAAAGACAAAACTTATAAACTACAAACCAAACACATACAATGCCAAAACTTCGTCCAGAAGGAGAGGTTTCGACTTGGCTGCCGAGGAAAAGAAGCTACTAAGACGAATCTCTTCCGACCGGATTCTCAAGATGCTACAGATCTAGAGTGATTGTGTGCTCATGAGACTATACTGTTTACTTATATAACTTTTCATAATTAAAATACCAGATATTTGTTTTTCAAAAATTCATATTAAACGGTTGACTCTCTTGCTTATTTAGAAAATACTACTCTGATGGCCAGAGTTATAGTGAAACCACTACTGATATTCCCAGTCATTGCTATGAAGCCCAAGTTCATTGATTTCCAAACCAAGCTATGAAGTTCTTCGTACCTTCATACAATTCGAAACCTTCAGAATGAGGGCTTCGAATATTTCAAGAAGTTTTTCATAAAATTTAGATTATGCGCTAAAGGAACTAGGTAGCTTTACTAGTCAGGGTTTTAGAAAAGAACCTAATGATGTTTCAAGGTCTTTTGTGGGCCAGAATTAAGGCCAACACGTTACTAACCACTAGTGAGTGTCTTCGTCAGCATAGATTTTCTATACACCATTTTGAGTAAACCTATTTTTAGCAATTAGGAAGGGCTGGCTCATAAAATTTACGTTGGAAAGGAAGGATTTAGGTGGATTATTGTGTAATCTATATAAGAAAAATCTAACAGTCTTAAACCTTCAAGCAAAGGGTAATCTCTAAGCTGGTAGATAAAAAGAATCTATCATTCAAATTATAAAATATTTTATGAAATTTTATTAATTCAAAAGCATGTACCTGTAATGACTCTGGCTTCGCTTTTAAGCTAACAAAGCAAGGAATTGTACTTGTTTATGACAATAATTTCACCATTGTATTAAATCATAACTTAAAGAGAGCGTTTTCACCAATGGTTCACCACAAATTGCTTCTGAATTTATAAAGAAACTCAGAAGTCATAGTAAAAAGGATGTCTGTTTTAATCCCATCCATTTCTTCGATAGGTACCAGGTATTAAGTAAAATTTGGGACTAATTTAAACAAGTGAGCCTTGTTTTATCCTTCCTAATAACAATGCTTAGCTTTTAGGAATAAGAGTATTTGAAATCATATGCAATCTAGTCCTCTCTAAAATATTGGCTATTTTTATCGTACCTTATTCACTTCCAGAGGTGTTCTCTTCATGTTTATAAAACACATAAAAATTGCTGCCGAAACTTGAAATTTTAGGTTATGGGCTAAATCTAAACACTTTTGGGTAGTTTTAGAAATCTCTTGAATTTCTTATTAAAAATGTTTCCATAATTGCTGTAAATTTCTGCTGAGGAGTAAGAATATTTCATGGGCCTAGGGGGCCTGAGACATTAGGTTTTAGACTTTTACAAAGGGAATTGGAGGTACTCAACAAGAGAGTATCATTCTTTTAATAAAATTGATCAAATGCCAATTTAAAAGTTTCCAGAATTGTATTTTCTCCAAAATGGTGAAGGAGTCTTCTACTTCTGAGCCAATAAACCAGGATTTAACTAAAACATTTTCTTTTTGGCTGAATTTTTGCTGTTGATATTATTAAGTAACTTGTGAACACAGAAAAGAAGGTTCGTTCAAAATACTAAGAAAAAATTGAGGCCAAAACTAGCCGAGGCCCATGGTTAAGGGAGTTCCCAGATTGGAAAATACAACAGACTTTGAAATATTTTTTATCAAATTTTCGAACATTTCTTTGTAAATATTTTCTCAACTCTTGCTCTTTGCCTTCCTGAAATTTTCCCATATTTCAAACCTGAAATAAATTGAGGTTCTAAGTTTTAAGCAACTGAAGGTGGATAAAGCTGAAAGAAATATACAGCTCCTTCATTGAGACAGCCTAACTGGACAGAGTAATCCATTCATCCGATGAACTCCCTGATAAGAAGCCAATTCACCATTTGAGATTTACAGAATATTTTCACATTTTGAAAAATCGATGAAATAAGAAATTTTGAGTCTCAAGCAATATTCCAAGAAAGTAAAAACTGGATGCATATGAAATCTTAAAGGAGGAAGAATGTAATTCTTTAAGAGAGCATAAATCAGCTGCAATATCAAATATAAGCATCCCTGATATTTCTCAACACTCTTTGAGGGTATCCCTGAGGAGCTATTATTAAAACTCATATAAAAATATGTGAGCATAGAGACTACCCTGATGAGTCATTGTAAAACCTCTCATCTTTGAGTACGAACACGTTAAGAGCAATATTCTCTCTATCGGGCATATTGATAATTTCAATATGAGATTTCTTATTAGGGGTTTTGGGGTTTTGGGGTTTTGGGG